GAGGCACAATTCATTACAAAACACTGGGGCCTACACCTTTGGTGGTTGTCGATTGCTATTTCTAGACTAGGCCTAGTCGGTGTGTACTACTAGGCCTAGCTTAGCAAGCCGTAAACGACGCTCGCTCGACTTACTTAGGTTACCTAACGAACGAATCGCCCAAGAGTTAGCGCATGTTGCCGGCCATTTCACGAGTCGATCGTCCTAGGTAAATGGGTCGTAAATGCCTACCTGTTAGATATTGGCTCACGGAGATCTTCGCCAACAACTTCTTTTATTGAAGACATGAGGACTTCCAAAACTTCTTTATCCAAACACAGTTTTTTGTAATTGTCTTTTAAAACAATACACGTGTTTACATCGTCCATCTTCCGACAGATATCCACATTCTCCAGGCAACATACACTCTCGATCCGGCTAGGCATTATAATGCAGTTTTCACATTGGCACCAGTCCAAATTGTCCGTTCTATCATTGTTTAGACTATTATCTACAGTAATATCATCGTCACTTTCATTTTCTTCACTAGAATATTGTCTTTGTGGTTCAAATAAAAATCCACTTCGGTGTTTATCTGCAGTCATCGCTATACACTTTTTACGGTCTGTTTTCGCGATGGACCTTAGGCGACGTCACAGACTACAGCGCCCTCTTTTGGCCAAATAATATATTTCTTAATTAATTAGTAATAAAAAATAAAAATTAACCAGAGTGACGATAGCCATTATGTTCTACATCATCACTTAACATTAAAATTATGGTAATTTTCGTTTCAGTTCCCCTTTAAAGTTTAAATGGTATTCTTCAATTTTGTGAAGGGTGTGTAACATTACCTTTTGTTTTCGTTTAGAATAAAACTCTGAGAATCAAGACTTATTCTACATACAAGTATAACATTTGAAAAATATGTTACTTGAAATTATATTTGAGCCTTTGACGTTCAGAATTTTAAAAATGTCTGTTATCTAATAATATGATACTAGGGAGGGCTTAGGACCTACAACCATAATGGTTTATTCTGTGACCAATCATCCCAGGGTCGCTTCTGCGCCCTCTGTCTAGTCTTTACACGTTATTGTAGCAAGAAAGATGCACAGAATAAGCAAAGAATAGTTAGCCTAGGCTTAGAGAATAGCTGAGTGTTGTAATAGTAAAGGGGATTATTAAAGGTACAGTAAAACAATATTATAACAATTTCGATTCGATGACAGGTAAAGTAGGCCGGCCTAGGTTGTCCGATGATGTTTCTTGCTAGAGGACTAGCCTAGGCGGTGCCTAGGCTAGGACCAGGCGGCGATTTTTTTTCCGTACGAAATATTTACATGAAACTCCACTCGGGCCGTCTCGGCTGAAAATCTCATTGCAGAATTCCGGAGGTCAAAAGGTCATCAACAGATAAACGTCTACAGAACAACTTCTGAGAGAACGTCGCTGTCTCATTTTTAAAAA